GGGATCGGGCCCCCCCCCCCCCTCGCCATGGGCCCATGTTACTCAGTTCCACTATTACCCCCTGTCCGGCACCATAAGTATGGTTGTAAGTATAGTTGTCAGAAAAAGTTGTTATTTTCAAAGTGAATCCTTACATTTGTAATGACATTTACACTAACACACACACACACACAAAAACACACCAGTGTGTGAAACTGTTACAGTCTGCAACCAGGAAACCTGTAACTTATGGAAGCAGGGAAGCCCTGGCACAGCACTCTGGGTGGGGCAACTAGCTGGACCAAGAGTGCACTCTGCAAATTGCACACCTTGGACACGTGGAAAATTAGGGGCGAAGCTGCCAGTTCACCTCAGGGAAACACTTGGAGTTAGGGGCTAGGGTTAGTAAGCATTATTCATTTCATTTTCATTTTATTATAGATTTACCTTAATTGTGCAGGGGCATTTTTTCCCCCAAACAGTTGTTATGGAGGGTGAGCACCCACCCGCGGAAACATAAATCGGCGCGTACACATTTGTGACCCTGGACCACAAAACCAGTCTTAAGTCGACTGGGTATATTTGTAGCAATAGCCAAAAATACATTGTATGGGTCGATTTTTCTTTTATGCCAAAAATCATTAGGACATTAAGTAAAGATCATGTTCCAAAAAGATATTTTGTAAATGTCCTACTGTAAATATGTCAAAACTTACTTTGATTAGTAATATGCATTGCTAAGAACTTCATTTGTACGACTTTAAAGGCGATTTTCTCAATAATTGGATTTTTTTTGCACCCTCAGAGTCCAGATATTCAAATAGTTGTATCTCGGCCAAATATTGTCCTATCATAACAAACCATACATTGTAAATATGTCAAAACTTACTTTGATTAGTAATATGCATTGCTAAGAACTTCATTTGTACGACTTTAAAGGCGATTTTCTCAATAATTTGATTTTTTTTGCACCCTCAGAGTCCAGATATTCAAATAGTTGTATCTCGGCCAAATATTGTCCTATCATAACAAACCATACATCAATGGAAAGCTTATTTATTCAGCTTTGAGATGGTGTATAAATCTCAAAAATGACCCTTATGACTGGTTTTGTGGTCCAGGGTCACATTTATCAAGAGGCCACTTCACACTTCACTTTAATGAGTTGATGAGTGTTTAAAGCGGTAGGCTACATACTTAGTGCTACAGCCGCGCCAATGACAGACAGCGACATACCTCCCCTTTAAGAGACTGTCCCTTTAACTTCACTTGAACACACCTGAACTTCCATTATGGAAGTTTCACTACAGTAGAGGAAAAACAATCCAGAACAAAACAACAACAACATCCTGTGCTGAAATATGGGTGAGTTAGTACTTTGGAAAGTTTTATTCTTTTACTTGAGGTGTTACATGTTCTTCAACCTGTGTCGCGCAGAGTTTTAGCTTTTTGACATATCAAATTACTTTCGGCCTAGAATCTCCTTCTCATTATTAAAATAAGGCTCGTTGAATACAATAAAGATCAAATGTGTCTTGTAGACAATAACAGCAGTTTTAGCTTTTTGACATATCAAATTACTTTCGGCCTAGAATCTCCTTCTCATTATTAAAATAAGGCTTGTTGAATACAATAAAGATCAAATGTGTCTTGTAGACAATAACAGCTTGAGAATAAGTGCTGTCGTTCTTCTGAGCTTGCTCTTATGTGATTATCTGTCCAAGTTGTTTTGCGGCCTCGTTCGCTTTCAGTTATTCCTCTGCGTCCTCTGCGAGCTAATCGAGCTAAGTGACATCAGTTATGGCTAAATGTCTTAGTTTCGTGCTAAATAAATATTCACAGGATTGATAGATTGGGCAATTCAACTTCCTTTTACACTTTTGACAGCTAGTATGTAGTTCTATATTCTTTTTATATCGTTTAACAAACTGTTTTTCATGACAACTATCATGAAGTTGTTTTATAGAAGTCATAGTTACTTTAGTTTGACTATGTTAATGATTTATGATTTTAAATTAGCTTAAACTTGTATTGAACTACTCATTTGCAGGTTGACCCGCTACCATGTTCCAAAAACCACCATAAGCTTGTATGACCAGTTACTCGGTCCAACATAGTCTACAAGCACCAACTAGAAACCAGCTACCATTGTAAACTGGATTTTCTGTCAGGTTTATCTGTGGTTTCTGTGATCCTGACTAAAATAGCACCATTTTACTAATTATTAACATTTCAGAGTGATACTAGATTGTTTTGATTTGTTTGTGTAATATTAGGGAATACGATAATGTATGATAATATGATAAACTTGTGGTTCAGACAGTATTCTGAAGTTAGAGTCTCAATTAGGGTAAGCTCTTGCTCTGCTATCTGCCATCTGCTTATAACTTATTCTCCTTCTAATTTATTACATATTGGTTCCAGTAGGAGATATCCATTCACAAAATGTAAACCTCTTACAAAATTACTCAGACAGACTGTTGCCAGCTTCTCCAATTGTTTCATTGCCAGAATTTCTGTTTTCATTTTCCCGGGACAATGGACACGGGCCCTCCTGGACCAGCAGCGGTGCTCCAAACACCTGAATGGGTAGCGGATGTGGACAAGGTAACAAAGGATGTAAACAGCACTGAGGAGGAAGAAGAGGAAATGATCAAATCTGCAAGTATGGAACCCAGTACCCTACAGTGGCCTGAGAATAAACCTGAACCACAGATTCTGCCAGTCAAGGATGAAGAGAGCACAAGCGTGAAATCAGATTGCATCTCACTCCGATGTGGAGCGAGCCGGACGGAGAGCGAGAGGGAGGAATTTGGGCTGAAGGAGATGGAAGCAGGGAAAGAGAGTGTTTCTGACACTGAGCTGAGAAACAGAGTGAAAAGCACCTGCTCAGAGATAGAGGTGGAGGAGGTGAACATAATGCCAGAGAACGCAGCCCGAGTCTTCAGCCCCAGCATCACCATCCTGCGCTCCACCAGCGAGCAGGAGGCTGCAGACGACTGGAGAGAAGAAGAGAGAAGTCCCTTCATGGGGACACATGGAACACCGCTAGAAGACTATTACCAAGACTGGCCCGTCACAACCAAATCACGCTGCTGTAAGTTCAGATTAAATCATTACGTGTTTCGTAACTTTTAATACACGATATATTGGTACAGTATTATCAACTGATATTAGAGATTAGAGAATTTATTGGTATAGGCTGATATACTGTACATTCCTACAGCTCAAACAGCAGAGCATGACTCTACCAACACCGAGATCATGGTATCAAGTACCAGGAAATGCTGATAAATGTATACCTTGAATTGAATGTAAGCCGCTTTCGATAAAAGCAGAAAGTAAAAATGATATTGGTTATTTAACTGTGCATACTCATTTCCCCTATTTTTGCATTTAGATTACCTTTGTCGTTATCTTCCGCTCACTTCATCTTTAAAAAAACATTAATTTAATAACACTGTTAAATGTAATATTTAGCAAATCTCAAAATGAATATTAATTTTCATACTGTATATTATAATGTTGATATAGCTAAATTAACTTTTATAATTCAGCTTTTTTTTAAATAATTGATTTTTGTTTTTAGTTTTGTTTTTAATGCATTTACACACAATAGTATAGAATTTTAATATCTGTGCATCCCTAACATTTAATCATTTTATGTAAAATCTCACAAACCAAATTGAAACATAATTTGAAATCAGTTATTATAGTTATTTAAATAAGACCTTTTGCAAACTTGTGTGCAGTGTATTTTTCCTTCAGGTTTGCAAATTGCATATTCAAAAATGAACAAATCGGATTTCCACAAAAATATTAAGCAGCACAACTGTTTTCTACAATGGTAATAACAAATGTTTCTTGAGCATAAGATTATACAAACCGCAAACTTTTAAATGGTAGTGTACTTTTACAAAAGCATGAAAAGTCTGTCTCTTTCTCTTTCTCAGGTAGCATTGGTGGATCTTATCGTGATGCTCTTAAACTGGGTGCGTCTATGTTCACTTCTGGCCTGATCTTCCCCTTATTGGTATGGGGTGGCTACGTCTTCCTGCCCTTTGATGCCCCTCTGCTTGACAGCGCCCCCCTACGGCTGGTCTACACGCTGCGCTGCTCTGTTTTTGCAGTCATACCTATTGTCCTTGGTAAGCAGTACCTTGGGTCTGTTTTGACTCTGTTGAGATGACTCGATATTGATAAATACAGTTTAACTTCGTATTCATTCATTGCTGAATCATTAAATCAAAAGAAGCTGTTTGGAAACGATTGTTCTGCTCTTTCTTTCCACTCTTAGGTATGTTGGTACTAGGTGTGTCCCGTCTGAGGTATCGCTCCTTGAAGCCGCGGTTTGAAGGGGAGAGGGAAGTTCAGCAGGTGGGCAGTTCACCAGCGCTATGTGGAGGACTCCGTCTCCCTCTTTCTCCTTTACTTCCTCCAACTGGCTGTCATGGCTGCCTACCTGAATCAGGATCTGCTTAAACTAATTCCTCTTCTCACCATCGTTTTTGCCTTTGGCAGGTACAAACTCCCTCTCATGTCACAATTCAGTTCGATAAACAACACAAAAATAGAGTTAAAATGTAAGGTCTACTTACATTTTATGTTAACTGAACTAAAATATAAAAAAACTCATTTGATTTTAGCTAGTTGCCAAGGCAACATTTCTCATTCTCATTTAGTTGGACCTGAAATAGCAAAATAAATAAAACTAAAATGGAAATAAAATTATTAAACTATATAGACGCATAACAATAACTTTGAGCTTCCAGGTTTACCGTATTTAATGTGCTCTTTGTATGTGCATTGACCAATGATTATATCTGGATAAAAACCTGAATTAAATATGTCTGAACTTTCATATTTTGGGTGAACTAGACCCAATGCATATTGTCGCTATCCACAATACGTATTGTAGCAATTTTGTATTGCTATATATTGTGGCACGATATAGTGTTACAACCCTAGTGATTAATTCACTTATCTTTCATGTTTTGTTTTATGTTGTTTTTGTTTGTGTGTTTGTTTCTTTTTTATTTTCTGAAATAATAAACTTTGTTTATTTATAGGTTTAAATTAGATTTTGAATCCCAGATATTCAATGTGTACTAACAATACTTTTTTTAAAATGACTTTTTATTATGTATTTTTGATCTGTGTCTTGGTGCATCACAGACTACTGTACTGGGTCGCAGCAGCTTGTGACAGCAGTTTGAGAGGTGTTGGCTTTGGGTTCTCGTTTCTGCCAATGCTGGTTATGCTGGTGGCCAACCTCTACTTCATCTTCCTCTCTGAATCCGCAGGCTCCATCTTTGCCCCAGACATCCCAGAACCACCTGTTCCTCCAACCAAACAGCGGTTCTGGGGCTAGACATGCCACATCTGACACCTCTGCTACTGCCAAATGTAGACCAGCTCTCTTTAGGCTTAGAGCCAGCTTAAATTGGACTATAAGACATTTGTGTCTGAGAATGTTTAATCCAACTGTGATTTCTTTTTCCTCTCCTGTTCTTTGCTTTCCTGAGTACTTTTATATCATGACCAGGTGGGTTGAAATTGCCAGAACTCCAGTCAAAGGAAAGAGAAGAGGTGTAGAACAAAGGGGGGAATCTGTGTTTTTTTTCTCTCTCCTTGAACTAACTTAAAAATAGAATTTGTGTAGTGAAACATTAGACACTAAACTACAAATTAAAATGAACTACCCTTTATTGCTGCTGAACAAGATTCGTCATCACTCAAAAGAGCTCCAAATAGACTGGTTTCAACTCAACTATTTTAAGATGAGAAGAAAACAAATTTCCAATTATTTATTCCAAGTATCTATTTTTTCTTATTTGGTTAGGCATCGTTTGCTTATTCAAGTCTACATTGTGTGGTGTGTGAAGTTAGTGGCCTTCCCAAACTTGTAATTTTCCACAACCACTCCTTCATCTCTTTGGTAATTTAAGGGCAATGTGATGTTTACTGTGTGCAAAGTGTAGACATATTTTGAACAGATTTGTAAAAAGATATGACTTCAGTAATCAATTAGAAGATCTTGTAAATGAAATGCTAATCAAAGCTGCAAAGAGATATAAGAAAACTGTAGCCTAGTGCAACTGAATGTATTAAGCTGGAATTAATTCCTGTTCGTTATATTTTCATAAACATTTTTAACAAATCCAATATTTCTGTCAATAACTGTTTTTTTGTGTGCATAAATTGAATGTAAAAACGCAGTTCATCGCATACGATGGTGGTAGGTTCGAACCTGTTCAACAAGTTCAATTTTTGTCGGAGGGCAAAAAATATTTCCTACTACCTGCTGTCATTTGATAGCTCGAATACATGGAAAGTTGACGGCAAACATCCAGCAGTATTAATAAAAATACTTTTGTATCATATACTGTGTAAGTCTGACTCTGAGGCAGAATGGCATCTCAAAGTCGTAGGAAACACAACGTTTGTCTGTTTCGGGTGAGGGAGCGCTGCCCGTTTCGAAAGCTGAGGAGGAACGTATGCAATGGTAAGAAGACCGATGACATAACTTGATTTATTACCAAATTATTTAATTCATGCAAGCAATTAAACCCCACAAAATTTAAAAACAATAAGCGAGAAATTTTACATTATGTAGTGTGTCCGTGAAGAGATGAAGTTATGGCTGTATGCCAGACATTTATCGTGATCCCAGTCTGCGTTTGCCCTCAAGTGTTAAAATTGACTTAAACGATCGTTTTGACCCTTGAGTGTATTAAGTTGTGTTTTACTCCATTGCTTAGGAGTAATTTTAAATGTTGGTTGTGCCAGCTGCCTGTCGGAAGCTGCAAATCACGTTATGTAATACCACTTGTTTTATCAACCACATTGCACAGACTCGAGGAGCACGCTCGTGTCCACTGGAGGCCAATGGAGAACATTAGAAAGCCCGCCTCAGTCAGGAGCCTCTGGATCAAACTGCGGGATAAACAGAGCCGTCAGCGTCGAGACCTTCCCTCAGTCTGATTCCCACCTGCAAGAAGAGTTCTCAGGTCAGCGTCAATCTAACTTTAACTTGGTTGCAACAACTTGCAGTTTACTAGATTTACCTCAGCAACCATTTTAAAAGGTGCCCTTTGTAATATTTGTTTTACACTCGTTTGTTTATATTTAAAAATATTAAATATAAAACATTGATTTAAAAAATCGTATGTATGTGTGTGTGTGTGTGTGTATATATATATATATATATA